AATTGTATTGGATTTATAAATTTTGAATTGTGGGCATTTAATCATAGAATCATAGAATCATAGAATCAAAGAGTTGGAAGAGACCTCCTGGGCCATCCAGTCCAACCCCCTGCCAAGAAGCAGGAATATTGCATTCAAATCACCCCTGACAAATGGCCATCCAGCCTCTGCTTAAAAGCTTCCAAAGAAGGAGCCTCCACCACACTCTGGGGCAGAGAGTTCCACTGCTGAACGGCTCTCACAGTTCAGCAGTGGAACTCTCTGCCCCGGAGTGTGGTGGATGCTATTTCATAGCAGTTTTTGTAAGGACAGGAGAAAATTCCAAGTTGTCTTGGCTTGGGCATGGAGGAGTGTATGCATCCTACCAGAAGACTAATCAGGAATGGGGAAAAAGTGGTGCAGTCTTGGAAGTCTCAGTCTCAGCAGGAAGGAAACCATGTGTTTGGATGTCTCACCCTCTTAGGTCTTGGTTGCTTGCAAATAGAAATATTAACGTCACAGTAATTTGAACAACATCACAGATTTCACAATATAATATACCAAAACCACCTAGCCTTGCTTGTTGCTGTGGGAGGTATTTGTGGTAAATTCAACCTCAGCAACTGTTGTTTTGAAATTGATGACAAGGATGATATGATCACTGAGATCACTAACAAAATGAAGACTTTGGCACCTTAGATGTAGAGACTGGAAATAGCATTTTGATGTAGTTGATTTTGATCCATTGGGTCAAAGTGAGGCTTCAAAAGGTGCAGATGGTATATTGATATATTAAATGGTTGTAACCAGGACATTTGCTTTCCTGGACTGTTTTGATAACCATCTGATCAAAAGCATCATGTGCAGGATGAAGGGAGGAAAAGACAAGATGAAAGACAGTGAGAGTAAGAACAGAATAATGTGGGAGGTGTGAAATGTCCTTAGAAATTCTATAAAGCCCAATTCGGCTTGGGCGGTTTCGTTGGTTAATTTCGTAATTCGTTATTAATTCGTATTTAAATTAGCTTACGATCCAATATTGAGCCATGCAGGAATAGTGTGAGGAGTAAATTAGATTCGAAACAATTTTTTCAATTTATTTCGTAATTATTTCGTAATTATTTTGTAATAATTTCGTAATTATTTTGTAATAATTTCGTAATTATTTTGGCATGTCAGGTGCAAGTTTTATAGTTGTTGTTTGTTTTATCACACCCACAGTCAACAACAGAGGGAGAGGGAAGCTTCAGAAGTTCCCCCTGTCCCATTTGGAGGTTTTTTTAGCATATTGCGCAATCGCGTCCGCCATTAACGAATCGATTCATAATTATACGAAATTTCATAAATTTCGAAGTTTTTAAAAGGAAAATTTCGGAATTCTTTAAAAAAACGAAACGTGATAGACCCCTAAAAACGAAACGAGTTTAGAAACAAATTTTTCCGTTGTTACCCAAGCCTAAGCCCAATCAAGCTGTGTCTTGGTGTGGCACTTCTTTTCCATGCTGCCCACAGATCTTTTGTTTTGCAAAATAAAGTCTGTTGTATCATCTCCTTGCATTGGAATCTCTTTTTTGGGAAGCAGACTTCTGAGATTTAAAAGGGGGCCAAGCTCAGTGCGCACCCCCCACCTCAGGTAGAAAAGGTAAGGGCAGGGGTGGCTCAACCCATTACGCAAAGTAAGCATTTGCAGTATAGTTGATTTTGCCCAGGGGCGCTCTTTTTTTTTTTTAAAAAAAAATCTTTACTAGTTTTCTTGATACACAATAATTTTTTTAAAAAAAGGATTTTGGTAGGACAGTTATGAAATTTACTTCTACTAAAAAGTTAAAGGTAAAAGTCATTAAGTCCAGTCGTGTCCGCAGAGGCGGCTCAACCCATTACACAAAGTAAGCATTTGCACTATAGTTGATTTTGCCCAGGGGTGCTCTTGAGGCACTCTTGGGGGAAAATAGACCTTGACATATGCGAGTTGTAGTTACTGGGATGTATAGTTCACCTACAATCAAAGAGCATTCTGAACTCCACCAATGAAGGAATTGAACCAAATATGGCACACAGAACTCCCACGACGAACAGAAAATATATATCAGTGATTGGTTAGGGGGCAAAATACTGTTTGCTTACTGTTGAAAATTACCTAGGGCCACCTCTGGGTAAGAGATCCAGTATCCTGCACCCTGGGAGAGTGGGAAGGAGAAAGGAAGGAGGTGCCTTTCAGAAATAGCTTGTGTGTGTTTGTGAATGTGTGAAAGGCTGCAGGCAGGGAGGGAGGTATGTTTCCAAAAAGCCTGTGTTTGTGTGAATGCAGACACTGTTTTAATCTTTTGTGAACCCCCCAAAAAGTCTCTGTTGCACTGCTGTCCCAAAACTCTCTCTGTGTGCTTTAGAATCTTAACCCATTGTCTTAGGAAAGTCTGTGTGTGCGTGTGCCTTTAAAGCTTTCATTTGTGTTGTCATATCTATGTTACTCTTAAGAAAAAGTCTCTCTGTGTGTACCTAGTAGGGCTGTCCAAACACGGAAAAATTTGTTTCTAAACTCGATTCGTTTTTAGGGGTTTTTTGCGTTTCGTTATTTAAAAGAATTCCGAAATTTTCCTTAAAAAAAGTTCGATATTTACGAAATTTCGGAAATCATAAAACAATTACGAAACAATTACGAATCGATTACGAATCGATTCATTAATGGCGGCCGCGATCGCGCAATACGCTAAAAAAACTTCTGAAGCTTCCCTCTCCCTCTGTTGTTGACTGTTGGTGTGATAATTATATTTTTTTTCACTGAGAAAACAAACAGCAACCCTAAAACTTGCACCAGATATGCGGAAATAATAACGAATCAATAACGAATCAATAATGAAACAATTACGAAACAATTATGAAACGAATTGGAAAATTTCGTTTCGTTTTTTAGTTGCTCCTGAGTGGTTCAATATCGCTTCATTATAAAAAAAATAACGAATTTTTAACGAATTACAAAATTACGAAACGAAACCGCCCAGCCCTAGTACCTAGTTCTAATTTGTGTTGGTATATGTGTTACTCTAAAGAAAAGGCGTTTGCGTTGCTTTTAAAAAATGTTTGTGTATGCTATTGTGTCTGTTGGACTGTTTTCAAAGATCTGTGTGTTTCTCATGGCTAGATTGTTCTAACACTAAAGACTAAAGCTATTTTTTCTAATCAACTTCACTCTCCACACTATTACTATTTATTAATAAAATGAAATCAGGTTACCTATCCCCAGCAATCTTTTAAAAATCCAGGCATCTAAAGTATTACAGCAATTTTGATTTTCCTGTTAATTTAAAATCTCAGACATTAGAATTTAGTCCTTAGCTAATCAAAGGCAATGACAAACTTCTGAACAAATCTTGCCAAGAAAACCCTGTTATAGGTTAGCCTTAGAGTGATTATAGGTAGGAAATGACTTGAATGCACACAAATCAAGATTGAAATTATATCCGTTTCATTTTTGTTGCATTTCTGCATCTCACTGGCCTTTTTCTCATCCAATTCCCATGTTGGCTCAGTTTTATTTTCTCAAGAAAATTTGCAGTATGTTAGTATGTATTTCTCCTACAGGAATCAATGCAACCTTCTCCCCCAATTTATTAAAGCATGTTAATATGCATTTTTCAAATGTGTGTTGTTATTGTGTGTCTTGAAATAATTTTTCAGTCATGGCAACTCTAAGACAACTGTACCTTAGGGTTTTTCTTGGCGTGATTTATTAGCCTTCCTCTTAGGTCAAGAGAGTGTGATTTGCCTTTGGTCAGCCATTGTGTTTTCATAGAGTAGAGTAGAGATTTAATCCAAAACTAAAGTAACTACATAACACTGATTCTCAGATGTACACTCAATTTTATGCACATGTTTCTTCATCAAAGGGCACCACAAGCTTTGTAAATAGAAGCATTTCCAAGATGAGACACACTATATTCCATTGTCAACTTCAGGAAGCACAAAACGTGTATTGATTTATTCTTTTAAAATAATTCCATCTCATCCAATATATGCAAGGTTTCAGAGCAACACAAATTGATCAAATCAATTTAAAATAATTTTAAAAATTAACATTTTAACCAAGGAGGAAAAAATTAAGTGATCTAAAGGCATATTTAACAATGGAGTAGTTAAAAATGTAAAGAGTCTCAATCCATTTGATATCAGGGCCAATCTGACCTACAAGAAGTTGGTATTCTACAGCTGGGATTATTTTGCAAGACAATATGAATCCAAAGATATTGGGGTCCTCGTGGACAACAAGTTAAACATGAGCCAACAATGTGATGTGGCGGCAAAAAAAGCCAATGGGATTTTGGCCTGCATCAATAGGAGCATAGTTAGGAAGTAATGCTACCCCTCTATTCTGCTTTGGTTAGACCACACCTGGAATATTGTGTCCAATTCTGGGCACCACAATTCAAGAGAGATATTGACAAACTGGAATGTGTCCAGAGGAGGGTGACTAAAATGATCAAGGGTCTGGAGAACAAGCCCTATGAGGATTGGCTTAAAGAGCTGGGCATGTTTAGCCTGAAGAAGAGAAGGCTGAGAGTAAATATGATAGCCATGTATAAATATATGAGAGGAAGTCATAGGGAGGAGGGAGCAAGCTTGTTTTCTGCTTCCCTGGAGACTAGGACCTGGAACAATGGCTTCAAACTACAAGGAGATTCCACCTGAACATTAGGAAGAACTTCCTGACTGTGAGAGCTGTTCAGCAGTGGAACTCTCTGCCCCGGAGTGTGGTGGAGGCTCCTTCTTTGGAAGCTTTTAAACAGAGGCTGGATGGCCATCTGTCAGGGGTGATTTGAATGCAATTCCTGCTTCTTGGCAGGGGGTTGGACTGGATGGCCCATGAGGTCTCTTCCAACTCTTTGATTCTATGATTCTATATTCTAAGGATTTTATTTTCTGCCTCATGTAGCTGCATGTACAAATGTCGGAAAGACCTGAGGTGCTCATTGGATCAGGTTGACTGGTAAGAACAGAAGTAACATCTATTATGCTTTCCTTTCTAGATCAGCGCATAGAAAACAACTCTGTATCACTGACTGAAACAACTGACTGCATCAGAGGACAAGGGGAGGGATACCGTGGTACTGTGAGCACCATATGGAGTGGTATTGAATGCCAACGATGGGACTCACAGATGCCTCATCAACACAACTTCACAGAAGAGAACTTTAAATGCAAGTGAGTAGAGCTACACTCATTTTAATTCCAGAAAAATATGACAGTAATCAGTAAAGCTCAGAAAGCTGAAAATGATATTTGTTCAGCATGATAGACTTGTCATATTTGAGTCTTTTAAAGTAAGTGTTTCCTGTAAATCTTACACCTTATATCTTCAGGAATTGTAGTTATATTCGTTTAATGATTATGACTTGATGGATTTGTGAACAATATATTTTGTAAATATTTTGATTCCTTTGTTGACCATGCACTCCCTGGTTTCTAAGAGTGATGCATTTGTGCTATGTAATGGTGGGTGATTTTTCACATTATATATTATAAATTGTATTATGGTGGCACATTAACTTCATATGCTGATTGGAACTGATCACAGTCAATACCTCCATTCTCCAATGCCCTATAATGTAGGGGAAGCCTTTGTTTCCCTTGCTCCACCCGATGTCTGAGGGATCCTTCTTTCTGTGGAAACTATTCAGCTGTAAGTGAACTAGTTCAAATGGTGCTAGCCCCAGCATCCACTTTTCACCTCCCAATTAGGATTCCTGCTGCTATAGAAGCTCGGGTTATCTGGAAACATGGTCCTCTGCAGTGCTCATTCTCCATATCTTGAATTGATCATCTGTGTCCTACAAAAAGGCTTCATTCTAAGCATTCATAACAACGATGAATTGATACCAAGAATCCTGTTACAGGGTAAGTGAACTGGATTTCACCATTTATTTGTTTGGCAAGGTAGAACAGACAGTGAATGAGTGCCCAAGTTGTTTGCTGTTTCTAGCATTTTAATTTTATTCATTGATTTGTTGAATGTTCAATTTATATTCCAACTTCCTGCTGAGGTAGGACTAGAAGTTACTTACTACAATGGTAAAATATAATAAATGTACATTTTTTAAAGATCGCTATTAGGGCTGTCCAAACACGGAAAAATTTGTTTCTAAACTCAATTCGTTTTTAGGGGTTTTTTGCGTTTCGTTATTTAAAAGAATTCCGAAATTTTCCTTTAAAAAAGTTCGATATTTACGAAATTTCGGAAATCATAAAACAATTACGAAACAATTACGAATTGATTACGAATCGATTCGTTAATGGCGGCCGCGATCGCGCAATACGCTAAAAAAACTTCTGAAGCTTCCCTCTCCCTCTGTTGTTGACTGTTGGTGTGATATTTTTTTTCACTGAGAAAACAAACAGCAACCCTAAAACTTGCACCAGACATGCGGAAATAATAACGAAACGAATACATAACGAATCCGAAGCATTTACGAAACGAATGTAAAAATTTGTTTCGTTTTTAAGTTGCTCCAGAATGGTTCGTTATCAAAAAAAAAATAATGAATTTTTAACGAATTACGAATTAACGAAACGAAACCGCCCAGCCCTAATAGCTATCACTATTAATTTTAATAAGTATATAACCATTGGAAAACATAGCAACAAGGGTAAAAATAAAAGCTTTCCCCATTCAAATATCTTTCTGCACAACCAAATAATTATCAATTATTAAATAAAAAGGTCTTTTACCTGTTGGCGAACCAAACATTTATCTAAAATTTGCAATTGTTTCTTGAGAATGTTTAATCATGTACAGATTGAAGTGTATATATTAATGTCTAGAAATATGTAGGGTAAGTTTAGACCAATTATTTACATTAATTGTTCACTCCGATCAGGGCTTAATCTTTATTCCTACTCCTGACATTTTTCCTCATTTTATTGTTTTGAATCCCAAGGACCTAATTCTGGGGGCTAACAAAAAGTGAAAATTCCATAGAAATTAGTGCAATCAGCCCTCTTTATACACATTCAACCATCCACAACTTGATTTTTTTTAAAATACAGATTATCTTTTATTTTGTCATCTTATATAAGGAACACCATTTGACTACATTATTTATTTATTTATTTGGCTTGTATACCGCCACTCTCAATTTGGCTAGGAGCAGTTTACAGCAGTAGATTAAAACAATACAACCAACTTTAAAATACAATAAAAATGAGAACAGACATAGTCCCGAGTTATTCACCCATCGAAAGCTTGTCGGAAAAGAAAGGTTTTACAGGCTTTCCGAAAAGCAAGTAGCTCTCGGATGGTTCGGGTTTCAACTGGCAAGGCATTCCATAAATAAGGGGCCACAATCGAGAAGGCTCTCTGCCTAGTAGAGGACAGATGATAAGATGTTGGGGACTTCAAGCAAATTTTGGTCTTCGGACTGAAGTAATCTCTGGGGTTGGTAGGGGGATAAGCGGGCCCTCAGGTACGCCGGCCCCAGACCATATAAAGCCTTAAAAGTAAATACCAGCACCTTGAAAGTAATCCGGTACTCAATCGGAAGCCAGTGCAGCTGTTGTAGAATTGGGGTGATACGACATCTCGCCGGCACCCCGGCGAGAAGGACTTGAATATCTACAGATTTTGGTAACTTGTGTGTGTGTGTCTTGGAACCAAACTGCAGTAGATGCCAAGAGACATAAATGGAAATGAAATCTGATTGTTTGTACTCCCTGAAATCCATTTTCTGCCAGATGTGAGAGATTGGCATGTTGATGGTTCAAGAAAGTTTAAGAAAAACATATTCCAAAAAGTTTGCAAGGGCCAGAGATGGTAGAATGAAAACTCCAAATAACATCGGGCATTCTGCATTGCATTTATGGATTCACAATTGTAGTTTTCAATAAGGTTTCAATTCCCACTTTAACATAGCAGAAGCATTAGTGAAGGAGGTCTGGCCAGATACTGATCAAGGAACAAGAATGTTTCCAGCTCCCTCCCACCAGCAAGGAAAGCTGTAACAATGTGTTATCAAAGACCCCACTCACTGGTGAGAAGGGGCTGTAAATGCCATCTTCCTTGTGTCCCCATTGACAGCTGAAAAAACTCTTCTTTTCTTGATATAGCTGCTGACTGTTAAAATAAGAGTAGGAGATAGGGCCATGAGAGGCTATCTAGTAGGGCTGGGCAACCACGGAAAAATTTGTTTCTAAACTCGATTCGTTTTTTGGGGTTTTTTGCGTTTCGATATTTAAAAGAATTCCGAAATTTTTCTTTAAAAAAGTTCGATATTTACGAAATTTCATAAATTACGAAAAAATTACGAAACAATTGCGAAACGAATCGATTCGTTAATGGTGGACGCGACCGCGCAATACGCTAAAAACCTCCAAATGGGACAGGGGGAACTTCTGAAGCTTCCCTCTCCCTCTGTTGTTGACTGTTGGTGTGATATTTATATTTTTTTTCACTGATTAAACAAACAACAGCTATAAAACTTGCCCCAGACATGCGGAAATAATAACGAAACGATTTCGAAACGATTTCGAAACAAATACGAAACGAATATGAAGCAATTACGAAACGAATTGAAAAATTCGTTTCGTTTTTTAGATGCTCCTGAATGGTTCAAAATCGCTTCGTTATCAAAAAAATAACAAATTTTTAACGAATTACGAAATTATGAAACGAAACCGCCCAGCCCTACTATCTAGTTTTGCCCATGTAACTAAGTAGCTGTGAATGTAGAATATTAGTTGTTATGGTTATTGATGAGTGCACTAGTGAAGTAGAGTGGAAAAGTGCAATCAAGAGCTATTGACAATAAGACACTATGTTTATCCAACTGGTATTTCTTTTCCAGGTGAATGATGCAGCACTAAGATACACCTGTAATTTCTGATACCCGAGACATTTAACTACTCCATGAACAAAATGACATGACCCAGCAGCCTCTGTTTCTGTCACTGAGACATCATTAGGCGCCATTCAGCAATCTACACCTGCAGTCTTAGCTGTATATTAATCCAGAGACCCGATCAGAGATGCTGCATCAACACAGATCCAAGAGTAATCAAGATGAGAGATATCAATGTTTTTAAAAAGACAATGCATTGATCAACAATGGATGAATAGATGTTTTATAGGAAACAAAACTCCATGTTCTGCCTATTGAGAAGGGCCCTAATCTATAATGGCCACAGTGTTTCCAGACAAATCTGCATATCTTCAAGAAAGAAGCCAAATGTGTATCTGTAAAGCAGGACAATTTTATATTCTTGCCTAAATAGCTAATCAAGAGAAACTGCCAGAATCAACTACACAAAGAACACCCCATCTCTCATTGCCTTGTAGAAAAGGAATGACAAAGTCTATTATCCTTCCATTAGAAGTATGCAATCTCTACTCCTTATTCCCTGGGCTGTTTTGGTGCTAAGATGAAGAGCTGACCATGGTTCGTTTTCTTGCTATTTTTTTTTGTCATGTCAGGAGCAACTTGAGAAACTGCAAGTCATTTCTGGCTTCAAACTACAAGAAAGGAGATTCCATCTGAACATGAGGAAGAACTTCCTGACTGTGAGAGTCATTCAGCAGTGGAACTCTCTGCCCCAGAGTGTGGTGGAGGCTCCTTCTTTGGAAGCTTTTAAACAGAGGCTGGATGGCCATCTGTCAGGGGTGATTTGAATGCAATATTCCTGCTTCTTGGCAGGTTGGACTGGATGGCCCATGAGGTCTCTTCCAACTCTTTGATTCTATGATTCTATGTGAGAGAATTGGCCGTCTGCAAGGACGTTGCCCAGGGGACGCCCAGATGATTTGATGTTTTTTTATCATCCTTGTGGGAGGCTTCTCTCATGTCCCCACATGAGGAGCTGGAGCTGATAGAGGGAGCTCATCCGCCTCTCCCCGGATTCGAACCTGCGACCTGTCGGTCTTGCGTCCTGGGGTTTAACCCACAGCACCACCGGGGGCTCCATCTATAGCAGCTGAATTCCTTCAGACTTGTTCCCAGTTGAGTTCTGAATGTGCTTGGCATTGCGGCAATTTCTTTTTCTGGTTACCATTTCTCATGTCTACTACACACACCACAATTTTTCAACGGATGAAGAAGGAAACATGTTTAGTAGCATTATTCAATGTAGCATTGATTTTTTTTTGTTAAACTGATGGGTTTTAAAAATAATTTGGAGTGATCAGTTGATGTGTTTCATCAGTGGAAGAAAGCTAATGCATGGACAATAGCTGGAAAGTTACTGATAACTGGAAATCTCTTTCCATATTCTGGAATTCAATACTCGTAGACAATTGGAAGGTGAGTAGAAAAGCAGCTTGAAGACTCCTGCATTATGAATTCAGTAGTACAATACAGAATTGCAGAGTTCCTCGTTGGAAGCAGTTAAATTGATTGCAATTTATATGGAGCCTCGGAATCCTTCAAATTTGGTCTTTGGGAATCTGATGGAAGTTTATTGGATTTGGTGCCTGTTTCTATGAATCTATTTGTTCATATAGGCTATATTTGTATTTTTGTAATAAACAGAATATTCCAAAGATGGTGTTAAGTGTCCAATGTACATTCAGCAAAAACCTGAAGAAACACAGCTTTTTATGGTTTCTGTTTGCAACCTGAAGCCTTCATGTTTCTCTTTTACTTGAGATACCATCTTTCTAGTGTTTTCTTGGTCATTCAATGTGACTCAATGATCAACTTCCAGCAGAATGTTTTCAGTCACAACATTTCCTTTGAAGGGGGGGGGGGGGGGGGGGGGGGGGGGGGGGGGGGGGGGGGGGGCTTCAGCCCCCCCCCCCGAAATTCTCATGGTGGTTCGCGAAAAGGCCTTACTGGTGCATTATTTAAACTGTTATGTTTATTCATATCATGATCTGATCACCAGACTCAATATATCCCATATGCATGGGGGTATTGGGGTAATGATACAAAAGGTTTGCTAGGGTAGACCCTCTTTCACTCAGACTCAGCCCCCCCCCCCCCGAAACGAAATCCTGGCTAAGGGCCTGCATGGGAGTGTTGTTAAAGCACTTCAGGTATATTGCTCACTTTTTTCTAATTAAGTCAATTTCATTAAGAAAATACCCTCATTTTTAAATACTATGTTGTCATTTGAGGAGAATACGGATATATTTCAGTAATGTCAACTGCATATATTTGTCTCATTTATGATGTTACAGCTCCTTACCCTCATGTTCTTTTATAAAGATAATTGTTGAAGATTTAGTTTATGTAAGGCATTGAATTTTGCCATTATCTCTGTGTAAACTGCTTTGAGTCCCCCCAGGGGTGAGAAAGGGGTATATAAATACTGTAAATAAGTAATAATAAATATCTATATATTTGCAAATGAGATGAAAATCAAATTTGAACACAACATATGTTTCAAATGCTTTGAGAATTGTGGAGGTGCACTAGTGTTCAACCCATATGAAGGTCTGTGTGGGAGAGGAGATACTCTGTTTTCTAAATCCAATTTAAAACAAACAGACAAACAAATGTATGTAGAGAAATATCTCTGAAACAGCTTTGAATTCCTCTCTTCAACCAACTAGCGAGGCACATACATGTCATGGATAGTCATCCCAATCATTGTTCCAGATGGTGAAAGAAAACCCTTTAAAACTGAAGACTATATTTAACAAAAGAATTGTTTTTTTAAAAAAGGAGGTTTAATATAAACTGAAACTTTGTTTTAAAGAGACTCCCAAATGGTTAGACTTGGTTTCAAAAGGCAACATTTATATAGGATTTCTCTTACTCTTAGGTTTCTACTTCCTAATTAAATCAGTGATAAAAGCCGACCTTGCCTATCTAACCAGATAAATTAATTCTGAGCAGGGATGATGGTGGTATTATTGAGAAAATCTGAAAAGAATATATTTATAATAGGTTTTAGACAGATCTGATACCACTGTGTATGAAAGAGTCTGCAATGAACAAAATATATTTAGAGCAACCATGACTGAAAGCATTCTCCATGAGTTTGGATTTCCGGAAAACATTCCTGGACTTAATGTGCAAACCGATAATAAAAAATCTAATCTACCAGTTATCAATTTGTGCTAAACTATATGTGATACATTGTATTGTTGTTTCTCTTTTTAACCACTTTTTTTTCTGCAGTACAAAGTTAGTGACATGGAAATGATGGACAGCTTTTATTGTGTTAACATGTAGTAGAAAAAGCAATGGAATATAGCAGCAGTATGCGCAACGTATGCTAACATGTTTATTATTGGTTTTTTTCTATAGGGACTTAAGAGAGAACTACTGCCGAAATCCAGATGGAGAGGAGGCACCCTGGTGTTTTACTACCAATCCTAAATTACGAATTGGTTATTGCTCTCATATACCCAAATGTGATGTGCCAAATGAGCAAGGTAACTTGCACGAGGAAGATACAAAAGTACTAAACAAATCTGTACGAGGTTCCCCACCCAAATGAGTCTTAGATAATCAATCCATTGTCCCACTAGTGAGAGTGTTAATGGGAATATTAAGTTATGTGCAATATGAAAACTGTAAGAGGAGATTCCATGTTTTGGGCACACCATTTCATTTTTTTATATATTAAAAAGAGACCAACACAAACCAAGAAAGAATTATCTATGTGCCAGATTGTTCAGATGATGTTTTTGTTTTTTTGTTTTTTGCAGCTGGTGCTGAGATACCTGCACAAAGCCTTTGATTAGGAGGGCATTTAATGTTTGTATATACTCATGTACAAGTCTAGAAATTTTAGTTGAAAAAATGACCATTAAAACTTTGGTTGACCTATCTACAGGTCAATGTATGTACTGTACCCAGAGGCGGCTCGTCCATTACGCGAAGTAAGCGGTCGCAGAACACTTTTTTTGCCAGGGGCGCAGAGGCGCCTCTGTAAATGCCCCTCGACCGCCACTTGAGGAGCGCCCCCTCAGCTCATAACAGCCCTAGCAGTCCGGGGGGAGCCTCGGCTTTCTTGCCTCGCTGCCGGGTGATCCTCTTCCCAAAGGGGCCGGGCCCTTGAGCCTCGCCTAGCCCCTCTCGTTCCTGCTCCACCCGGCCACCGGGTGCGCGAGCAGAGCCGGCGCTCAATCGTTCTCCACGTTCGATCCCTTCCCCATGACCGGCTCCCTTTCCAGATCGCCCGGCGCTCCACCCGCCTCCTCTCCTCTCCCCAATCCTCAGGTGGGCCAAGGGGCGGAGCCGCTGCATCTGGCCCGCTTTGGGTCCGGAGGCGTGTCTAAAGACCCCAGCGTGCGCACCAAAAGTCGCCTCTTCTCCTGACTTTCTCATCAGCTATTGGGACCGAGAGAGAGAGAGAGAGAGAGCCCTTCCGGCTGGAGGTATCTCCCACCTCCCCTCCCTCCTTTGTTTTTGCGCCTACCTTCAGGAAAGGTGGGCATCTCCACCTCTGTCTCTCTCTCTCTCTCTCGGTCCCAATGGCTGAGGAGAAAGTCAGGAGAAGAGGTGACTTTTGGTGCACACGCCGGGGTCTTCAGGCACGCCTCCGGACCCAAAGCGGGCCAGGCAAGGGAGCAATGCGGCAAGTGTAGTTACTGGGATGTATAGTTCACCTACAATCAAAGAGCATTCTGAACTCCACCAATGATGGAATTGAACCAAATATGGCACACAGAACTCCCACGACAAACAGAAAATATATATCAATGATTTGTTGGGGGGGGGGATGCCAAAATGCTGTTTGCTTACCTTTGAAAATTACCTAGGGCAGCCTCTGACTGTACCTTAACTTTTATTTTTTTAAAAAGAAACGATCCCCTTCTCTGACTAGAATAGCAAAAGGCAAGAGCATAGGCTCCAAAAGAAGTACTGATCCCCTCTATTTTCACCACCGCAATGCTGCTTCTAGTCTTTTTGAATGCCCAGGTGAGGAAATGGTTGCAATAGCCAGGAGTGACTGACCCCTTGAGGTGGCACTGGCCCTTTCCCCTCTTCTTAGAATGACTTCTTTATGGATCACATCAAAATTCATAATTTCTCCCCTAAAGCGCTCCCTCGACTAATACATGAAGTTGATTATAACATGAGTATACAGTAATCCAGTGTTTACACTGTCCTCTGCATTATCTTACTACTTTCTATGTAATAGAGGGAGGTGATTAGAAAGGCAATCCATAAGAGGCAATCTAGTGTCATGTTCAATGTTTTTACGTGTCATTCTGATTTGGCTCTATGGCAACAGTGTAGTGATTTCTCAATAGGCTGTTTTAAACAGGACAACATTTTCCATCAGACTTGGATGGTATAACTTGCTTTGTGGGGTTGTGGGGAAATTATTCTTAAAACAACTGGAACTCCATAGCTACCTACCTCTAATTTGAAGTGTCAATGTACAGCAGATTCACAGAACTTGCAAGTGGTAAAACATTCTATTGTGTTGATAAGCTACACATATTCAAATCAACTGTGGTTTTTGTTTCAAAGATGGGGCTGTTTCTCAGTGTGGTAACATGCTTGATATGTACCATGCACTGGGTGATTAACTCTGACATTTCTCTGTCCTTTCTTGCCAAAACCCACAACCTCCTCTTAACTAGTTAATGTTCCATTCTACAGCTCACTGAAAACATCTGGATTTAAACAGTAAAACTAAAAGTACATTGGCAGCTCTTAGATAGGATAATTTATTTGGTGACCTTGTCAAATTCACAGTCAACAAATTAGCATTCATACAGATTCCTAGTACATCTGCAATTGACAGCAAAAGGACATTATCTTGTTTACGCTTGAGTCACTCATTTATGTCTTTAAATACAGATATTTAGATTTAAAACAGTTCTACATATTAAAGCTGGTTTACTTATCTCTCTCTCTCTCTCTTTGCCTTTGTATATAGTGTCTTGAATACACTACCCTACATTTTAAACCTTGATTAGCATGATTAACTGAAGACTGAGAAAGAATGACTCCTCAATATAATCGTGATTTTTGTTGTTGTTTCTTTTATCCATTTTCCATTGCTTATTCTTTATGTAGATTGCTACCGAGGAAATGGGGTGAATTATATGGGAAATGTAGCCCGCACCCGGTTTGGCTTAACTTGCTCTCCGTGGGATCAAAACATACAAGATTTGAAGAGGTTTGTACAAAATGAACTAAAAGAGTAAGATTTTGTAGTTCAATACACTTTACAACACTTCATTCAAAGGGTTTCCATATTTTTTACTGTCCTTCAGTTTTCTTGTCCACAAGAAAAATGTTGATAAAGGCTTCTTCTATCCTTGGTTGCATTATAGGAAGGAAAAGGGCAAAGGCCTTTTTGCCTCCATTCCATATTATATGCTCCATCTTTTCCTTCCATGACGGAATGAGGCTAGAGCTATGCTACAAAGCTCACTTCCCAAACATGAATAGCATTGAAAATGTATTCCAGCTAATTTAGTCTAAGAAATGTTTAACTTTATCATTCCTATCTGGAAAAAAGCGTAATTTTCTATGAATTGTGTCCTCTGCCAGAACCTGTACAAATTTAATAATCAAGATAGTTGATTTGACTGAAGGTCCTGATATACATACTACCAATCGCACAGAAGGTATGCATTTGAGTATTGGAGGCAAAGGTAGCTTCACCTTAATTGTGGAACACACTTCCTGAAGGCGGTGAAGCTGAATTTATACCCCACTTTACTCCCAGGATGGGATCTAAGGTAGCTTACAGAAATATAAAACAGGATTACATTTTTAAAAATCCTACTGTAGTCATCCGCAAACCAGATCAACAATTGGGTCACACCGTTTACAGAAAACCCACACACACAGATATCTACATAAAAACTCCAACCATCACCCAAGTAAAAAAAGAAGCACCATTCAAGCCTTGGCAGACCGTGCAAAAAGAATCTGTGAACCCCACCTTCTCCAAGATGAACTGAACCACCTCAATATCCTTCATCCACCTCACATCCACCATCCCTACTCCACCTCAGACATCAGAAGAGCTGCAAGACTGAGAACAAGCCACGAGAACAAAGACGAAGATCCACCCAGAGGAAAAGTGTTCTTGCCATACATCAAGGGAACCACTGAACGCATAGGGAAGCTGATGAGGAAACACAACATACAAACAATCTACAGACCCACAAAGAAAATCCAACAAATTCAGCAAAGGACAAGAGGGACCCTCTCACCTATGCATGAGTCTACCGTATACCATCCAGCTGCAGAAAATCAAGCTGGCCAATTGCAACATTCACACGTGCCTCAACACGAATCAAGGAACATGAAAGGCACTGCAGACTACTCCAACCAGAGGAATCAGCCATAGCAGAGCACCTGATGAACCAACCTGGACACAGCATATTATTTGAGAACACAGAAATGCTGGACCACTCTACACACCATGTCAGACTACACAGAGAAGCCATTGAAATCCACAAGCATGTGGACAATTTCAACAGAAGGAAGAGACCATGAAAATGAACAAAACCCGCCTACCTCTTTCCCCCTCCCTGACATTAAGTCCAGTCATGTCTGACTCTGGGGTGTGGTGCTCATCTCCATTTCTAAGCCGAAGAGCCAGCGTTGTCCGTAGACACCTCCAAGGTCATGTGGCCGGCATGACTGCATGTAGCGCCGTTACCTTCCCGCCGGAGCGGTACCTATTGATCTACTCACATTTGCATGTTTTCGAACTGCAGTATTAAAAAACTCTCAAATTACAACAGCACAACAACAGAGAGGAAGCAGGCAGGGACATCTAATTACCTCTCAACAAAAGTTTGCCCCAGGCATAGTCAGGCCATTGTATGCTAATCAAGGTGGTCAGTTGAAACATTCACACCTAGCCCCAGCAGAGAAGAGTCCTTTTTCTCACCCTGGACATTCCACAGATATATAAAACCTTTTGCCTAGTTCCAACAGACCTCACTACCTCTGAGGATGCTTGCCATAGATGCAGGCGAAACGTCAGGCGAGAATGCCTCTAGACCAGGGGTCCCCAAACTAAGGCCCGGGGGCCGGATGCGGCCCTCCAGGGTCATTTACTAGTAAGTTTATATTTATCAAAATTGTTCTTCATTTTAATTATTGTATTGCTTTGAAGTGGTTTTGCCCTACAAATAAGATATGTGTAGTGTGCATAGGAATTCATGTTTGTTTGTTTTTTCAAATTATAATCCGGCCCTCCAACAATTTGAGGGACTGCGACCTGGCCCTCTGTTTAAAAGGTTTGAGGACCTCTGCTCTAGACCATGGCCATATAGCCTGAAAAAATCGACAACCCATTGTTGATTTTATTTGTTATTTCAGATTTTTGTTATGATGTATCTTTTGTTATTTTTGTGTTTGATCATGTTGTATTGTTCTGGGCTTGACCCGCTTGTTAGCCACCCTGAGTCCCCTCTGGGGAGATTGTGGCAGGTTATAAATAAAGTTTATTATTATTATATTATAGGCTGTATTTCACAAATTAAATAAAACAATATTTTTAAAATGTTTAATTTTGATACACATACTTTCCTTCTAGGCACCTGCCATTGGAAAAAGACCTAGATATTAGCAAGCTAAAGAAAAACTATTGTCGCAATCCAGACCAAAATGCTCATGGTCCCTGGTGCTACACAAATGATCGTCAGGTCCCCTGGGATTATTGCCCCATACCTCGATGTAAGTATTCAGAGAATACGCCCACTGCAGAATTGCTGCATGTTTCATAATGTCAAGAAAAAATATAAATGTCTGTTTTGCATATTTCATGATATGGAAACTTTTATATGTTAATTGTTTTTATTTGATTTTAGAACTGTTGCCTTTTCTTGCTAGAGAAGCAAGAAACAAATCTACAAATAAATGCAGTGAGCCCTTGATATCCTCTGGGATGTAGATCTAAGACAAAAAATTATGGATGCTCAAGTCCCATTGTAAACTTGATTATAATGTAAAATTATTAAAGTAAAATTATGTCCCTTATTTAAAGTGGCAAAATTAAAGTTTGCTTCGTGGATTTTTAAATGTTTTCAGTTAGTGGACGGTTGAATCCATGGATACAGAATCTACTATATGAAGGTCAAAGTGTATACAAATATTCTATACATGTGAAGTTGTTTGTGTATGTGTGTGTGTAGCCACTACCATATTTGATGAGATGTCCTAATACAGGCAAATAGGAAAGGAAGGTATGTCATTATTTAACTTTTTATACCATATATTTACTCAAGTCTAATGCACACTTTTTGGTTAAGTTACATAGCCAAAATTAAGGTGCACATTACATTCGATGGCACATTATACTTGAGTAAATATGATATTTTGGAGACAAATGATAGCCAGTGGAATTGTTTCTCTCCTTTTGAGGTCTACGTGTCTTGACTTGTGCTTTGTGTATCATCTGTTAATGCACTATGATTCTTGGAAACAGACAGAACATTAGTTCATATTAATGTGGATTAATTTGCACTCAGATTAATGTGACTACAGTTACAACCCCATAGATTATGTTAAAAGATTTAAGGTTTTGACAAGGAAAGGGTAAAGGCTGAAATGGATGAATGAAAATGGATATGTATGTGTGTGTGAAATTGGCTGGGAAGTTTGCAGAATTGACTGTTGTGCTAACAGTGGAAAGCAGAGAGCATTGTTGGCACTTCTTTCTTTTATTGGTAGGACTTTGGGAATCCCCCATAGGAATCATATCATTTGGGGACATTTGGAAAGAAAAACTGCACTCTCCCATCCGTAGTTATCTTTATTAATTGTGTTGGTTATCCTTTATCTTCAGATTGGTATTCTAGGAGAAAAATGTTATAACTCAAGAAAGGAATATTTTCTCAGTTCAATATTGAAACATTGCCACAATGGCCCTATTATTTTGTCTTCTCTAAACTATATGGTAAAATGATCTTATTGTGACACCCTCTGAGCATAGATCTTCAGAGGATATTTTAGCTCACAAGCAATTGTGATTGAGCTGTTATTTTTCTTTAGGAGAAGTATGAGAATATTTATAACACAGCCAACAATTTTTCTTGGTGTCTTGGATTTAGGCCTGATCTTGGTGTTATTTGGGGCATTGATTCAGAAAATTGCATTGGATAGACCACATCACCTCTAATTTCTTAGATATGGTTATCACAGTTTTCTAAGGGCAAGCAGATGAAGACTCATATAGAGCATCTGCATCTCAAAAACTAGAGCTGATAGAGGAAAACTACAGCAGCTATATCGGAGCAGGAAGTCGCCCAGCACCAACAACATCTGTGCAGGGAGCCCCCATGGCCCCCACTGCCTGGTTCCTTTAAGGGCTCAAGCCTCCTCGCTGCCCAGCAGCAGCTACATCTGAGCAGGGAGCCCCCATGGCCCCCACTGCCTGGCCCCCTTAAGGGCCCAAGCCTCCTTGCTGCCCAGCAGCAGCTACATCTGAGCAGGGAGCCCCCATGGCCCCCACTGCCTGGCCCCTTTAAGGGCCCAAGCCTCCTCGCTGCCCAGCAGCAGCTACATCTGAGCAGGGAGCCCCCATGGCCCCCACTGCCTGGCCCCCTTAAGGGCCCAAGCCTCCTCGCTGCCCAGTAGCAGCTACATCTGAGCAGGGAGCCCCCGTGGCCCCCACTGCCTGGTCCCCTTAAGGGCCCAAGCCTCCTCGCTGCCCAGCAGCAGCTACATCTGAGCAGGGAGCGTCCCAGTACCAGCAACATCTGTGCAGGGAACCTCCATGGCCCCACTGCCTTGCCGCCTTGCTGCCCGGCACCTGTAATATCTGTTGATGTGTGAGGACAACTTACCCGGATTAGCTAAACTGAGACTTTTCCATCAACTGCTTACTGATTGTTTTGGGCAGCCTTGGTGGCTCTGGTCCTCATCACAAACCTTCGTTATAATTGCACTGTCTACAAGACCGGTAATTGAAAACTACACAAACTGGCAAACAATAATCTCTGTCAATTTTAATGATTTTGTATTGTCGAAGGCTTTCATGGCTGGAATCACTAGGTTCTTGTGGGTTTTTTTCGGGCTATATGGCCATGTTCTAGAGGCATTTTCTCCTGACGTTTCGCCTGCATCTATGGCAAGCATCCTCAGAGGTAGTGAGGTCTGTTGGAATTAGGAAAATTTTAATGATTTTAAGTTACATTTATATGTTATTGTTTTTTATATGTAATGTATTGTTTTTATTAGTATGTGAGGCATTCAATTTTTGCCAATTATTATGCTGTACACCACTTTGAGACCCCCTAAAGGTGAGAAAAGCGGGTTAAAGCGCTGAGCTGCTGAGCTTGTTGACCAAAAGGTCGCAAGTTCGATTCCAGAGAGTGGCATGAGCTTCCGCTGTCAGCACCAGCTTCTGCCAAGCTAGCAGTTCGAAAACATGCAAATGTTAGTAGATCAATAGGTACCCCTGCGGCGTGAAGGTAATGGCGCTCCATGCCGTCATGCCGGCCACATGACCTTGGAGGTGTCTATGGACAACGCTGGCTCTTCGGCTTAGAAATGGAGATGAGCACCACACCCGAGTCAGACATGACTGGACTTAATGTCAGGGGACTACCTTTACCCTACACGGCTTTGAGTCCCCCTAGAGGTGAGAAAAGCGGTATAGAAATGCTGTAAATAAATAATAATAAAATTGGTGTCATTTTTAAGACCAGAAGTAGGTCTAACCTTCAAGGCACCAAAATGTGTTTTGGCCAGAAAGCACTGAACAAGCTAAATAGACAGATGTCTATTTCTCAACATTGTTAACATGTATTCAGTTTTCACAGGTATTTCCAACTTCTCAATGGCGTTTCTTTAATAATACTGTTAATATGTGAATGTATTGTTTTATCTATCTAGGTGAAGATGATACAGTTCCTATGATGACCAATATAGATCGTAAGTAATGTTTATATAAATAAAATGTGTTCTGTTTTGATGTACTGACTCATCTTTCACATTATTGATGAGTATTTCATAAGCCTAGTAGTAGATAAACTCTTAATCCCGGACCTTGGCTTGCCACTCTGACCTCAGTAAGAACTCCATTACTAATGTCAATTGTTGTTAAGGTGATAACAAACAGACAATGGTAATTTTAGGGGTCCTAGAAGACCAAGCTAAATATCAACGCCAAGAATATTGATGTGGCATTCAAAGAAACCAATGTAGTCTGGCCATTAGCAGCACAATATCCAAACCAAGGGAAGTAATCCCATTCTACTCTGCTTTGGTGAAACCTCATTGGTAATCCTGTGACAAATTCTGGGCACCACAGTTCTAAAAGAATATTGACAAACTGAAACGTGTCCAGAAAAGGTTGACCAGGATTACAGAAAGTCTAGAAACCAGGTCTTATGAAGAGTGGCTTAGAGAGCTGGGCATGTTTAGCATGGAGAAGAGAAGACAGAGAGGTGACATGATAGCTTTCTTTAAACATCCAAAGTAATATAATGTAAAAGATGGAACTAGCTTATTTTTGCTGCTTCAGAGGCTTGAAAATCAACCAGTGGATTCAAATTACAAGAAAAGAGATTCCATCTAAACATCAGAAAGAACTTATTTACTATAAACTGTTCTCAAACATTGAATAGATTGTAGGTGGTGGACTCTCTATCTTTGGAGGCTTTGAAACACAGGGTAAATTAGCACTTTACAGGGGTGCATTGGGTTAGACTAGATGGCTCTTGGACACCCTCCAAATTCTAAGATTCTGTGACTTTATGGATACAAAATAGTAGTGGGAATGTCTTCTTATTTCTGGAAATGTAATATGCATTTGTATAAATTGCTAGATTAGTATGTTTTAAGTGGAATATACTGGAATTTAATAAATTGCAAACAATAATTCTTTCAGCAATTATCATTCCTTGTATCTCAACGAAACAACCAAGAGTCGTTAATGGAATTCCAACTCAACCTGACAAAGGATGGATGGTTAGTTTGAAAGACAGGTAGGACTCTACATACATGGCTACTTGGATCTGATCCCCATTCCCTGATGCTTTTTTTTTTTTTTTTTTACTTTTAGGCAATGTAAAGAAAGAAAGAATGAGTGCCCTAATAACATGGTCTGGTGCTCAAATTCAGGCATACACTACTCCAGTTCTTATTTCCCCAGTGCTTTTGGCTTGGGACTGATTAGATTATGAGCATGGGAATCAATGTTCCACTTTTTCTCCTCCAGAAGAGTAACTATTCTACTTTTTTTCCTCCAGCAGAGGCAGACATTTCTGTGGTGGTTCATTGGTACAAGACAACTGGATCCTAACAGCAAAGCAGTGTTTTCCTTCTCGGTATAGTATTTTTTTTGTTAGAAGTGTGGGGTGAAAAACAGATTTTATTATTCAAGAGACTGCAGTAGAATTCTGTATAGTTTTTTTCATGTCAGGAGTAATTTGAGAAACTGCAAATCATTTCTGGTGTGAGAGAATTGGCCGTCTGCAAGGACGTTGCCCAGAGAATGCTCGGATGTTTGATGTTTTACCATCCTTGTGCATGGGGAGCTGGAGCTGACAGAGGGAGCTCAACCCGCTCTCCTCAGATTCAAACCACTGATCTGTTGGTCAGCAGTCCTGCCGGCACCCCAGCATTCAAATCTTTGGAAACCCACAGGGTGTTCTTGGTGAAATCACTCAATCTTAGTTTTAAAGAAAGACAATAACAAACCTTCTCTCAATAAGTCATGCCAAGATAACCCAAAGGAACAAAAAGAGTTTCTAAAGTTTTATTCTATAGTGATATACAATTTTTGTACAGCCAAACTCTCATTAAATTTTCTAGAATTACATATTTTGCCAGTCAGCCCTCCATATTCATGGATTCTGTATACATGGATTAACATACCCACTTTGAAATCCAGCCTGCTCCCTCCCCAAAATTCCCAAAAGCAAACCTTGATTTTTCCATTTTATATAAGGTGCCTCATTTTACTATGTCACTGTGTATAAGGGACTTCAGCAGCCATGGTTTTTGGTATCCACAGGAGACACCAGCAGATACCATGGGTACACAATACATTATAGCAGTGGTTCTCAACCTGGGGTCCCCAGATGTTTTTGGCCTTCAACTCCCAGAAATCCTAACAACTGGTAAACTGGCTGGGATTTCTGGGAGTTGTAGACCAAAACACCTGGGGACCCACAGGTTGAGAACCACTGCATTATAGCCATACAGTCTCGCCTGTGCATATGTTGAGAAGTAATTAAATATAGTGGTGTGTTTGTTTTATTGATGAGACCATACCACCACCAAAATTAGAAGTACAGGCAGATCCCAAGTTATGAACAATATAGGCAACTATTCAATGCCTTAAAAAAACATGCAATTAAAATAAAAATTTAAATTAAGACTAAAATTAATACACATTAAAACAGTTTAAAACATAACATCCATTAGGTTCTTGTGGGTTTTTTCGGGCTATAGAGCCATGTTCTAGAGGCATTTCTCCTGACGTTTCGCCTGCATCTATGGCAAGCATCCTCAGAGGTAGTGAGGTCTGTTGGAATTAGGACAATGGGTTTATATATCTGTGGAATGGCTGGGGTGGGGCAAGGAGCTCTTCCCTGCTGCAGTTAGGTGTGAATGTTTCAGCTGATCGCCTTCATTAGCATTTGAAGGCCTGCCTGAGCCTGGGAAAATCTCTTGCTGGGAGGTGTTAATCTGTGCCTGGTTGTTTTCCTCTCTGTTGTTTTGCTGTTGTAATTTTAGAGTTTTTTAATACTGGTAGCCAGATTTTGTTCATTTTCATGGTCTCTTCCTTTCTGTTGAAATTGTCCACATGCTTGTGGATTTTAATGGCTTCTCTGTGTAGTCTGACATGGTGGTTGATGAACCAGCCTGGACACAGCATATTATTTGAGAACACAGAAATGCTGGACCACACCAACAACCACCATGTCAGACTACACAGAGAAGCCATTGAAATCCACAAGCATGTGGACAATTTCAACAGAAAGGAGGAAACCATGAAAATGAACAAAATCTGGCTACCAGTATTAAAAAACTCTAAAATTACAACAGCAAAACAACAGAGAGGAAACAACCAGGCACATCTTAACACCTCTCAGCAAGAGATTTTCCCAGGCTCAGGCAGGCCTTCAAATGCTAATGAAGGTGGTCAGTTGAAACATTCACACCTAGCTCCAGCAGAGAAGAGCTCTTTGCCCCACCCCAGCCATTCCACAGATATATAAACCCATTGTCCTTATTCCAACAGACCTCACTACCTCTGAGGATGCTTGCCATAGATGCAGGCGAAACGTCAGGAGAAATGCCTCTAGAACATGGCCCTATAGCCCAAAAAAACCCACAAGAACCTAGTGATTCCAGCCATGAAAGCCTTGACAATACATAACATCCATTATTAAAACCATGCCATCATATGGAGAACGAGTCACCCTCTCAGAGAGGCCCTGTGTTGGGGTAAAAGAATCCAGCGACGCTTTAACCTTGGTTGTGAGTGGGACCTCTGCTGGATGTCGCACAATGTTGTGTGATGTCTGGCATCAGGCTCCATCCATTAGAAGGGGTGAGAGCATCCTAGTAAACTAAATTCATGCTGTCTGATGAGGTTGTGACTTTCATTGTTATTTGTACTACTTTTAATTGTGTTGTGAGCCACCTTAGTTTCTATTTTGGAACAAATGGGGCTTAAAAAATTAGAACATGTTATTTTAATTTAGTGCAGAGATATTGATGGAGTTCTGTAGATCTGAAGACTATGACTTGCCATTGTATTGCTTTTGCCTTCTCATTCTTCTCTTTTGTCCCTTCTCCTTTAGAGCACAATAGCCTATGACATAAAAATGTAGGACAAGTTTGGAGGATTAAAGCATGAATGAAAAAGCAAAAAAACAAAGATTTATGTAGAAAATATTATATCAAAAGAAAGGAGGATGGACAGAATTCATAATATTTTATGATAATCTCATGGGTTAAACTGCAATTGCCATCATACCTTTTCATGGGTAGGATTGATGGGGTATGAAGTCTAGTGCTGCAGTAATTATTAAATTAGTCTTAGCTATGGCTATTTAACCATGTATTTCTTTACATAGTAACCATGTTGAGGCAAGAAATGAAAAACATTAGCCAACTCCTGCGACTGATTAATTTTATATTGATATTCATGTACAAAGGACCAACGAAACTTATGTTTCCTAGGTATAACCTCAATGATTATCAAGCTTGGCTTGGAATTCATAATGTTGAAAGAGCCCATGAAGAGGAGCATAAACAAGTTCTGAATATCTCCCAGCTGGTGTATGGCCCTCAAGGATCTGATCTAGTATTGCTGAAGCTTTCCAGGTTAGTCATAATAATGGTAACTGTTCCACAGACTACTTCCTACACATACACACCAGCTTCCACCCTCTCTCAATGAAGTTAAAAAGGTAGTAGATAGTGGCTTGGTGGACAGTTGCCCTGTTGATTGTTGTAAGAATGGAAAGAATGTTTTGGAAAAATGGTTGAAGAACATGTTTTTAAATGTTCAGATTTTCTGAAGAGCAAAAAGCTAGACTGCTGAGACTTTTTATGATTCAGAATTTATTCCGTGTAAAAATTCACACAGGGCTGTTTTATACAAAAGAGGAAAAAAACAGCAGCAGCAGCTTTGACTCCTTGAAAAACAGCTGCCAACCTGTTGTTGGACTGCCAAGATCATTACTCTTAGCTACTACTACCAATGGTGAAAGTGATAGAAATTGCAGTGTGGCAATACTTAGGTAAAGGTAGTCCCCTGACATTAAGTCCAGTCATGTCTGACTCTGGGTTGTGGTGCTCATCTCCATTTCTAAGCCGAAGAGCCAACGTTGTCCGTAGACACCTCCAAGGTCATGTGGCCGGCATGACTGCATGGAGCGCTGTTACCTTCCTGCATTTGCATGTTTTCGAACTGCTAGGTTGGCAGAAGCTAGGGCTGACAGCGGAAGCACACGCCGCTCCCCGGAATCGAACCTGCGATCTTTCAATCAACAAGCTCAGCAGCTCAGAGCTTTAACCCACTGCGCCACCGGGGGCTCCGTGGCAATACTTAGATGATCGCAATTTGAACAGCCATGCTCTGATATCTCAGTTGGCATAAGTAATGTACAACAGAGGTGAAACTTGTGTGGTTCTTGGATATTGTAGGTGTTCCACTTCCATCAGTTCTAGGCAGCCTAGCCAATGATGAAGGATATTGGGTTGTTGTAGGTTTTTTTCAGGCTATATGGCCATGTTCTAGAGGCATTCTCTCCTGACGTTTCGCCTGCATCTATGGCAAGCATCCTCAGAGGTAGTGAGGTCTGTTGGAACTAGGAAAAAGGTTTTATATATCTGTGATGACCAGGGTGGGACAAAGGACTCTTGTCTGCTGGAGCTAGGTGTGAATGTTTCAAGTGACCATCTTGATTGCCTGGAGCAAACTTTTGTTGAGAGGTGATTAGATGTCCTTGTTTGTTTCCTCTCTGTTGTTATGCTGTTGCAATTTTAGAGTTTATTAATACTGGTAGCCAGATTTTGTTCATTTTCATGGTTTCCTCCTTTCTGTTGAAATTGTTCACATGCTTGTGGATTTCAATGGCTTCTCTGTGTAGTCTGACATGGTGGTTGTGAGAGTGGTCCAGCATTTCTGTGTTCTCAAATAATATGCTGTGTCCAGGTTGGTTCATCAGGTGCTCTGCTATGGCTGACTTCTCTGGTTGAAGTAGTCTGCAGTGCCTTTCATGTTCCTTGATTCGTGTTTGGGCAATGCTGTTTGGTGGTCCCTATGTAGACTTGTCCACAGCTGCATGGTATACGGTAGACTCCTGCAGAAGCGAGAGGATCCCTCTTGTCCTTTGCTGAACGAAGCATTTGTTGGATTTTCTTGATGGGTCTGTAGATAGTTTGTATGTTGTGTTTCCTCATCAGCTTCCCTATGCGGTCAGTGTTTCCCTTGATGTATGGCAAGAACACTTTTCCTCTGGGTGGATCTTCGTCTATGTTTTCGTGGCTTGTTCTTGGTCTTGCAGCTCTTCTGATGTATGAGGTGGAGTAGGGATGGTGGATCTGAGGTGGATGAAGGATGTTGTTGCTTGTGTGTGTGTTGCTTGTGACTGTCATATGTTTTTATTGGTTGATTTTAATGCTGTTGTTTTTATCTATGATCGGGCTAGTCCCTGTGTAAGCCGCCCAGAGTCCCCTTGGGGAGATGGTGGCAGGTTATAAAATTAAAGTTACTGTTATCAGTAGTAGTAATAGTAGTAGTATTTATAAGATGGTAGTAGCAGGCAAACAAGATCTGAAAGAGTGTCCAATTCCTACACAAATAAGCATAGGATTATGAATGTAACCAGATATATTATAAATCTTTCCCATCAATATCAGACATATTGATCAGAAAACCCAGATAAGAATAAAGCTGAAAACTGAAAAAATAATAATAATCAGAAAACCGTATATACTCGAGTATAAGCCGACCCAAATGTAAGTGGAGGTACCTAATTTTATCACAAAAACTGGGAAACTGTATTGACCCAAATATAAGCCAAGGGTGGGAAATGCAGCAGCTACTGGCAAATTTCAAAATAAAAATAGATACCAATAAAATTACATTTATTGAGGCATCAGTAGATTAAATGGTTTTGAATATTTACATAAAACTGTAATTTAGGATAAGACTGTCCAACTCTGATTAAACCATCATTCTAACCTTCTTCAATGTAAATGTAAATGTGCTTACATATCCTTCCAATAATAATAGAGTAAAATAATAAATGTAATAAAAATAATAATAGAGTATAATAATGGAAATGTAATAATAACAGTAATAATATAATAAAATAATAAATGTAATCATAACAATAGAGTAAAATACTGAATGTAATCATAACAATAAGAAATGTAGTAAAATAACAAAGGTAATCATAACAATAATAGAGAAAAATAATAAATGTAATAATAATAATAGAGTAATTATAATAATAGAGTAAAATAATATAAATGTAATAATAATGATAATGACAATGATTATTATTATTTATTATTGTTCATAATTCACTGCATCCTCGCAGTGATGTTGACTGGCTATATCTGCCTAGAAGGTCTGGTGACAAAGGACTTTTGCAAGCCAAAAAACAGTTGAAGAAGAAAAACACGCCCTGGCAGAATATGTAAAGGAAAGCCAAGAACCTGCTTTAATTGAAGTCAATAATCGGAAACTTCTTAAAGCACAGCAGACAAAGAATCAGTACAAGAAAACTACACTAAAAACCAGAGCTGACAACTGGTATAACAAAGCATTGCATGGGCAGTTCCTTGACAAAAATGAAGGAAAAGTTGATAAGGAAAAGATCTGGTTATGGCTCACGAATGGAACCCTGAAGAAGGAGACAGAAGGCCTGATTCTTGCAGCCCAAAAGGAAGCCATCAGAAGACATGCAATTAAGGCCAGGATTGAAAAATCAGTTGACGACCCAAAATGCAGACTGTGTAAGGAAGCTGATGAAACCATTGATCATATCCTCAGCTGCTGCAAGAAAATTGCACAGACAGACTACAAACAGAGGCACAACTATGTGGCTCAAATGATTCATTGGAACTTATGTCACCACCTGCCAGTAGTAAAGAACTGGTGGGATCATAAACCTGCAAAGGTAGTGAAAAAGGAACACACAAAAATACTGTGGGACTTTTGAATCCAGACTTACAAAATTTTGGAACACAATACACCAGACATCACAATTGTGGAAAAGAAAAAAGTTTGGATTATTGTTGTCGCCATACCAGGTGTCAGCCAAATTGAGGAAAAACAACAGGAAAAACTCAGCTGTTATCAGGACCTCAAAATTGAACTGCAAAGGCTCAGGCATAAACCAGTACAGGTGGTCCAAGTGGTCATTGGCACACTGGTGCCGTGCCAAAAGATCTCAGCCGACATTTGGAAACAATAAACATTGACAAAATCACGATCTGTCAACTGCAAAAGGCCACCTTACTTGGATCACACAGTCCTAAATGCTTGGGAAGTGTTCGACTTGTGATTTTGTGATACAAAATCCAACATATATATCTTGTTTGCTTTGTCATACTGTGTTTTTGTGTCAGTAAAATAATTAATAATAATAATAATAATAATAATAAATATAGTAAAATAATAAATGTAAAAAAATAAAAGAGTAAAATAATAAATAACCTCGACTCGAGTATAAGCTGAGGGGGGCTTTTTCAGCCTTAAAAAAGGGCTGGAAAACTCGGTTTATACTTGGGTATATACAGTAGTTGTCCTGTCACTTGATCTACTTGCAGAAGCTTTTAAACAGAGGCTGGATGGCCATCTGTTAGGGGTGATTTGAATGCAATATTCCTGCTTCTTGGCAGGGGGTTGGACTGGATGGCCCATGAGGTCTCTTCCAACACTTTGATTCTATGATTCTATGAAATTGTCAAATGCTAATTCTGTTTTTTTTTTCTATAAGTGCTAATTCTACTTTAAAGTACTGGCAATAATAATAAATGTCTATTCCTTTTATTCTATTTTCCCAGACCTGCAGTGATCAGTGAGGCTGTGGCTACCATAAGGTTGCCCATTACTGGATGTACCATTCCAGAAGGCACCACCTGCACTGTATATGGATGGGGACATACAGGACGTAAGGAAATCTTGTTCTAAATCTGAATGTGAACTTGCATGCCCCAAGCCATTTAAAATTCCTGGTAGTGGATGCTGGCATAGTCAAGCAATTATTTAATGAAAAATTGTTTATTTTCTGAGCAATGGTTTAGGTAGTTTTGTCACAGGCAATTATAATGTAAATATGGAGTTTGCTACCTGGGTTGCGTTTCAGAAAAACATCTATTTCTGCTTCATTGACTATTCTAAAGCCTTTGACTGTGTGGATCATAATAAATTGATGTTCTTGTTGGTGATATGATGTAGTATATAATCTATATAATCCTGAGGAATCTGTACAAGGACCAAGTAGCAACAGTCAGAAATGACCACGGAACAACAGACTGGTTCAAGATTGGGAAAGGCGTACGGCAAGGCTGCATACTCTCACCTAACCTTTTTAACTTGTATGCAGAACACATCATGCGATGTGCGGGGCTTGATGAATGCAAAGCTGGGGTGAAAATTGCTGGAAGAAACATTAACAACCTCAGATATGCAGATGACACCACTCTGATGGCCGAAAGCGAGGAGGAGCTGAGGAGCCTTCTAATCAAGGTGAAAGAAGAAAGCGCAAAAGCTTGGTTGCAGCTAAACATCAAAAAAACCAAGATTATGGCAACAAGAATGATTGACAACTGAAATAGAGGGAGAAAATGTGGAGGCCGTGACAGACTTTGTATTTCTAGGCGCAAAGATAACTGCAGATGCAGACTGTGGCCAGGAAATCAGAGACACTTCTTGGGAGGAGAGCAATGACCAATCTCGATAAAATATGAAGAGTAGAGACATCACACTGGCAACAAAGATCCACATAGTTAGCAATGGTATTCCCTGTAGTAACCTACGGATGTGAGAGCTGGACCTTAGGGAAGGCTGAGCAAAGGAAGATAGATGGTTTTGAACTGTGGTGTTGGAGGAAAGTTCTGAGAGTGCCTTGGACTGCGAGAAGATCCAACCAGTCCATTCTCCAGGAAATAAAGCCCGACTGCTCATTGGAGGGAAGGATACTAGAGACAAAGTTGAAGTACTTTGGCCATATCATAAGGAGACAGGAAAGCCTAGAGAAGACAATTATGCTGGGGAAAGTGGAAGGCAAAAGGAAGAGGGGCCGACCAAGGGCAAGATGGATGGATGGCATCCTTGAAGTGACTGGACTGACCTTGAAGGAGCTGGGGGTGGTGACAGCCGACAGGGAGCTCTGGCGTGGGCTGGTCCATGAGGTCACGAAGAGTCGGAGACGACTGAACGAATGAACAACAACAACACCTGGGTTAAAAGCCCAAGGAATTTGGGGGAGAAGCAAAAGGAGCCACCTTCCATAAGGTTATCATTTTTTTTAATAGAGGATTCAATACATACTTAATGCAAGAAAGACAGAAATTATTTCTCCTCCTCCTTCACCATACACTAAAACAGCAGCAAAGGGAAATGGGGGCGCCACGACCGCACACACATTCTCTTTAGCCACTCTCCTGAAACAAGAAGTGATTTCATATCATTTCCAGTTGCAACAACTTGGAGTATTGGGTGCAATTTTGAGGTCCCCCAACTCGAATTCCCAGGGTTTGGTGGATTGTGAGATGTAGTTGATGTCAAAGCTCTAAAAAAACAACAACAAATTTTGGGGTGTTTTGCGAAGTGGCTATGGCTAAATCAGAAGTCCGAGAGCTTCGAAAGGTTTCATTTTGATAAATCAAAACTGAAGTGTTAGGCAAATTCAGCATGAATAAACAGGGATCCAAAGCCAGTTTTTAAAGAGTTAAACACTCCAAACACTAGATTTAAATGAATCAATCTGCTACTTGTAATTTAACCCATATTTTAGTTCAATTAAGAATATCTATATATATACAGTTTAACACAGTAAATGTAAACACCACATTTCAAAACCAAAGAATGCAATTACAAATAATTAATAATAATTTCCAACTACACCAGCTATAAGGCAAATTTTATACCTAGGATAATCAGTAAAATGTTTTGAAGCAAAAAGCATACTAAAGGAGAACAAGATGTACTTTACTTTTAAATCATTGGTAAGAAATCACTAATGTATTCAGACAGTTCCATGCTCAATATAAGGAGAGTGTGTGTGTGTGTGTATATAGTATAAAAGATTTTCATATAATGAAACTATTTCTGATTTGTTTCCATCTTGAACTTCTACTAAATTCTTCTCAAAACCTAACAGAAATGAAATTGATCTTTCATCCGAACCGACTAGGACAATGTTTTCATGATAACATTCATATTGGAATTATCAAGAAAACACTCGCTGCTGATTGGAAATTGCTGTATTTACATTTTCACACTTTAAAAAAATCTCTATCAGTTGTCTAAATTTAAGAAGTCAGTGGCTACTGCAAGTTTCCAAAGAGCTGGAAATAAATGATTTTGAAGGGAGAACTTATTTTGTTTTAGTTAGTAAAATCAAAATTAGTGTGCATCTGTTGTGACACAGCTGGAATCAGAGAGTGTTTCTGATGGGGATGATGAGACTCAGGTTCACAGTTTGGTTCAAGATGTCCGTGCTATAGACAGTAAAGAAGAAGTGCAGTTTCCCACAGCAAGGCATGAGAGTATGGAAACTGAAGACAGCAGCCAGGTGCAGATTGACTCCGAAAGAGAGGATAGCTCTTTGCCTAGTTCTCACCCTGATAATGAGCAAACAGGAAAACAGGCTGCTAATGAGCAGATTGACCTTGATGATACGGGAACTTTAGATAGGGCTGCCCGGTTGGAATTCTGTGTTCGAAGGAGTGAAAGAGGGAGGCCAGAGGCCAAAGAAACGCCTTCATGTGGGTTTGAGACCAGATCTTTGTCAAAGCAACTTTTGCGTTTACCTAAAGAGTTTGCCTAAGCTAGGCTGGATTTATCTTGCAGTCTTTGTGTTCATGGTTCCAGGACTTTGTCATGTTCTCTTGGGTCTTGCTTTGCTGATGCCTATTGGATTATGCTTCAAGTGCTATGTTATCCTGATCTTTTGAAACATTACCTTTGCTTTTAAGAACTTTTTACCTTTTACTTTTAATAAACCATAAAGACTACTGGTTGTGTGCAGTTTGGTGTTCTTCAGCAAGGTGATTCTACTCTGAGGTGCAACAGCATCCTCCTCTGCTATGCAGATCTTAGAGATATTCTGCTAGTGTTTTTACAACTACTCTTTGCTTCCTTTGAAATTTTATGGAGGTTTTCCCCCCTGAAAATGAAATGACCTAAGCTTAATTTAGGTGAAAATGTTTATACCTTCTTTGGCAAATTGTTTAAATGACTTTGGATTGTAAATAAGCAAATGAAAGAGACAACATCATCAAGCATATTCACAGCAAAGCTTGATCAAGAACATGCATCCATATTTACTATGGATTTTGAAAAAGTTTTGGAAACTGAGTCCTACAAGGACTAAAATAATGAGTATGTTTAGCTTTGAAAGTAGAAGACTGATTGGTAATAAATTCTAAAAGGCCTGTCTTATAGAACATGGAATTAGCCTATTTTTTCCTACTCTAGAAATTTGAGGAAAGGGGGGGGGGACTTATCTGGTCCATCCTTTGTTGCTGTAGCAGCTGGCCATGGAGTTCTGCAGAACTTACTGGTAGCAAAGATGTGACCTGGGCTAAGGCACTTGACAACAGTAAGGTGGCTGACTGATGCAATGACAAAGGCCAGCCCAGGTTTAGGGTGATCATCCAGAGGCACTGAACTAGGTTTAGCCCAATTGGACAGAGTGGACTCCACTTCTGCTACTGTCATGGTTCAAGAACATAGTGTGTAAATGGCTTCACTGAATCTAGAGCTGGTCCAAAGCAACAATGCTCTGGACTGGCCTTAGATTTAGGTGACCATGTCGATGAGTCCTATGAGCTATATAGCATTTTATTTATTTACGACATTTGTAGCCACCTTTCTCAGCCTTATGGCAACTCAAGACGCCTTACAGAATTGACAGAATTTGATGCCATACATTCAAAAAATACAGTTAAATACAGTTAAAAACATTCAACCTAATATTATTAAAAACCATATAAAACCATTTAAAACATATAATTACCAGTGTTGTCCTGTTAAAATCATTATCCAGCAGCATCATCTAACCATTCTGTGTTCATTCTTCCTATTTCATAATTGTTTATTCCGTTGCATTTTCAAACACTTGTTCCAAAAGCCAAGTTTTTACTCTTTTTCTGAAGACATCACATAGTTTTAACAAGCTACATTTAACAAAACTGGGCTAGAACAGATTGCAATTATGTGGTATGTTTGGTAGAGAAACATAGCATTCATTGTCCTTCTGGTGTAATCACCATTGTATAGATAATACGGCCGTGCAACCACGGAAAATTTTGTTTCTAAACTCGTTTCATTTTTAGGGGGTTTTTGCGTTTCGTTTTTTAAAAGAATTCCGAAATTTTTCTTTAAAAAAGTTCGATATTTACGAAATTTCGGAAATTACGAAACAATTTCGAAACAATAACGAATCGATTCATTAATGACGGGCGCGATTGCGCAATACGCTAAAAAACCCTCCAAATGGGACAAGGGGAACTTCTGAAGCTTCCCTCTCCCTCTGTTGTTGACTGTTGGTGTGATAATTTATGATAAAACAAACAACAACTATAAAACTTGCACCAGACATACGGAAATAATAACGAAACAATTTCGAAACAATTACGAAACAATTTTTTAAAATTCGTTTCGTTTTTTTCCCTGAGTGGTTCAATATCGGATCATAAGCCACTTTAAATACGAATTATTAACGAATTACGAAATTAACGAACGAAACCGCACAGCCCTAATATATAACATAGATCAATAAATAGTTGCCATTTGTTTACTTTCCAGCTACTGCAATGGATCTGGGTCTGGTTCAAATCATGTCAGTGGAATTATTTCTATAGAAATAGATTTTAGAGCTGCCACTTTAGATATACTCAGAATAAAGTGGAAATTACCTTCATCTCTCTGTCCCCTCCCTCTACCTCTTTCTGAACATGTGCAGTTAATTTTGTTTGTCAGGTTATCCAACTTAGGCACACGATATTTTGTGTTTCTCCATTTGAACCAATATAGATGTAAAATCCATGTTTGCAAAGGTTTTTGCTTTCTTGTTTTAGAATAACATGCTGCTGAGGACGAACCAAAGAACCAACTTGCTTTTCATTTTAGGTGCCACCTTTGATGGGAGACTCCAAGAAGCAAATATGATTATTGTGGGAAACGAGCGCTGCAATCAAGATTTGGGAGGCAATGTAGTTGTGAAAGAGTCAGAAATGTGTGCTCGAGCTGAGAGTATTGGCAGTGGAACTTGTGAGGTACTATTTTATTCATTCCTTTCATTGATATCCACCCTTCCTCCAAGGAGTTCGGGATCACATAATTTGCTGCACACATTTTATTCTTAAGATAATTATGTGTTCAAAATCAGACTGAGAGTTTGTGATTGGCCAAGACCACCCATGCTAAGACAGTGTTTGAGGCTCTCCCCAATCCCTAGCCCTTCACACTCTATTCTCACATAAAATCAGCCTTCTGCTAGAAATAGTAGAATAACATCTCCCATCTCTAAATAAGAAATGATATGATTTTAAGTTGGTTTTAATTTGGGGAAAAAACCCAATCCTGATATTTTGTCCTGAGAATCTTGTTTTTATTCCATCAATAGATATGGGCCATACTTCTATTTGATATCCCAAGAGTAGAGAATAGTTCTCATGGTATGAACATATCTAACTCTCAGTAGATTGTCATGAAATTATCTGAGAGTTTGCTCACATAGAATCATAGAATCATAGAGTTGGAAGAGACCTCTGGGCCATCCAGTCCAACCCCCAGCCAAGAAGCAGGAATATTGCATTCAAATCACCCCTGACAGATGGCCATCCAGCCTCTGTTTAAAAGCTTCCAAAGAAGGAGCCTCCACCACACTCTGGGGCAGAGAGTTCCACTGCTGAATGGCTCTCACAGTCAGGAAGTTCTTCCTCATGTTCAGATGGAATCTCCTTTCTTGTAGTTTGAAGCCACTGTTCCGTGTCCTAATCTCCAGGGAAGCCAAGAACAAGCTTGCTCCCTCCTCCCTGTGACTTCCTCTCACATATTTATACATGGCTATCATATCTCCTCTCAGCCTTCTCTTCTTCAGGCTAAACATGCCCAGCTCCTTAAGCTGCTCCTCATAGGGCTTGTTCTCCAGATCCTTGATCATTTTAGTCGCCCTCCTCTGGACACATTCCAGCTTGTCAATATCTCTCTTCAGTTGTGGTGCCCAGAAATTTGGTAATTGTGTGCTAGATGGTTCTTTCCTTTCTTTGAGTCAGATGAATGCAGATGACCATTGAGGCCACATCTACACTAACCACTTAGGTCAATGTAGAGCTGGATCAGCCCCGTGGCAGCCCAACAATACATGAGGATGATCTGGGGAAATGCAGAGTAAGGCCACCTCACTGTGGCCTTTCCCTGCATTACCCAGTTGGGGGAAAGTCAGATTTGTGACTTTGGGCCTTTGCAGAATTGGACTATCTCCTTATTTTGAGCCTGAGAGAACAGTTGGTCGGATCTGAAACAGAACCAGCCACAAGTGTCTCCACTGCTATTCTGTCTTTTCTGGGCTTGAGTGGCCCAGGGACCCTTTCCTTTGTGTCATTAGGTCTCTGGCCATGACATAGATCTTATCTGTCAGCTGTCATATACAATGAGATCAGCTGGGGCACTGGTGTGCTCTGGGATAGAAGGCAGAAAGGACAGGTTATTCCTCCTTTCTGTCAGAGTATTGAAACTTTGCCAGCGGAAGTATTGCTAGATCAGCAGACACTGTGTTCAAAAAGGACTCTGCAGACTTTCAGTTACAACAGAAAACTAAGTTTACTAAGTACATCCATACACGTCTATTCACAGCAAGCAACAGACAGGAACTACTAGGCACAAACAACAGTCTCTGAACATCTGCTTATCTGACTTCTGGCTGAGGCCAGATCCTCCCTCTTCTTCCCAGCCAGAGAACACGTTATCTCATTTCTGTCAAGGTTACAGTTTCACAGCCTTGGCACTATGTTTTCTTAATGCACAAAAGAGCAGAATAGAATCCATCTTGAATTACATAGAAACACATTGAAAAACACACATGCATAACTCAATCCTGACACTTTCCTCTCCTCTCCTTGCTTCACACCCCCTTCCCTTGGCACCCCATTTCAGCAGCTGATATCACTGCATGTTATAGCCACCAGGTAGAACCTATGTCATGGTTGGAAACTGCTGTGCACAGAAAGCAGAGGGACAGGAAAGGTGGTTGTCCAGCAGTACTGAGCCACATTCAGTGCCACTTGGGGGTGAAGACTCCCTCCCACCTCCACAATGTTTGGGATATTCCTGTGTGGTCCATATACAGGGTTGATCGGCATAAATCACAGCAGATGATTTCTGTATGGTGCTGAATCTAAATTCTAGCACCATAATCAAGTGGTGTATCTGCTAGTGGTGCTGACACCTAAATCAGTTAAATGTGATAGATATGAGAGTCATAGATTGGAGGTGGGATTGTAATCCAGTTCAGTTTATAATCTAAGCGAAAAAGAATTTTGGAGTACCGTAATAATACTAAAATATAATGAGATGTGGAGCAACCCTTATAAGCTGATAACATTTGTATTTCAGACTAGGGAATCTGGACTCTAGAAACATGGGTAGGCATCCACAATAGGCAAAGTGTAATTTGTGGTCAAAATCCAATAAGAATAACTTAGTTGGGCTGTATTTAATAAAATTAGATACTTACAGTGTGTACAACTTATACTCTGAAAAGACAATTTCCTTTTACCATTTGAATTGGCCTATATTTTTGGTAGATCATAGTTACAATAAATTGTAATTAGACATTCTATCATTTCTATGAAGTAATCTCTATGTTACAGTGTTCCCCTGCCCCATTGCACACATCAAGGGCTTGTGGGACAAGTATGGGATAGTTTAGAATTTTATGCACCAGAAATATATACATCTGCCTATTTATTTATTTATTTATTTATTTATTTCTTCTCTTCCAGCGAGATTATGGTGGTCCACTGGTCTGTGAACAGAACCGAATTAAAATAGTAGTGGGAGTGATTATTCCTGGACGTGGATGTGCAATTCCCAGGCGGCCTGGAATTTTTGTCAGGGTGGCCTTCTATTCAAAGTGGATACATAAAATCTTAGTGACTTACAAATCATAGCTGAACATTCCAGCCAAGTGAGCAAATTTCAGCCATGGGAATATTTTGGAAAGTATGAAATTGAATTGCAATAAGAAGATCCTTAACTTTTTAAAGGAAAACACAACTTGATAGTTGTGTTTTGCAGATATTTATGGAGACTGCCATCATGTTCTGTGTCTTAGTTGCATTACATGAAGTGAACTGTGGTATAAGCAAATGCGGTGACCTATTTCCTGAAGATACTTGAATGGAAAACAACATTGCAAATTTGATTACTGGATGACTATACAATTTGTGGAATTAGAACGTCCAATTTCTTATCTGCTGCTGGTTAGGTCAGCTTGTTGATGAGACACAAATACAATTTGAGATTTACAATATTTTTCCTTACTTTTGTAAGCGACCTGTTTCTTCTTTAGGGCATTGATGAATGTGTCCCTCAATCAGACATGAAGCTCTCATTTGCTAAAAGTTTGATTTCAACTATATTTCAATCTCCCTTACACATTACTGCTTGGATTTATAGCCCAGTTTAGCAAAGTTTCCACTGGCTTACATTCCCTGATGTTAGGGAAGCTTCTTGCACACACTGTTTATGGGATTTGATTCTATGTTTGCTGCTGTTTTGGACTAAAAAAGCAATTGCCTACATTAATTGATATTTATAGAAGCACTGATAACGATATATAAGCCATTATGATGACAATGTTTTTGTATTCGAATGTTTTTTTCTATAAATATTTGCAACAAAGTTTAGAAGATTTTGGTCAGAAATGGATTCTGACATCAAATGGTAGACCATTTGTACTGCTGTATGGATTGGGATCAAAATACATTCATTGTGACTTTATTGTGTCTGAGGTGATTTTGATCCCTGAACAGCACTAGCCCACCATGCCATGGGACAAAATACCTTCAAAGAGGTCATTCAATTTGTGCTATGGCATGCAGGCAAAAGTCTACTGGTCATACGTAGATTAGGTCTTTAGTTACCAACATTGGTCAGTACTTAATTCTTGTCCTTAATATCTCTCAGTGTAGTATTTCCCAAACATGTAGCTCCATAGGGCATTGGGGCCCAACATTTAGAAAACATGACTGGCTAGAGTTGTAGTCCAACATCAGCACAGATTCAATGCTTGGAAATCATTGTAATAGCCCGTTGGGGAGAAATTGTGTATTTTTATCGGTGTTTCACCTTTTTAAAGAAATTCTGACACTACTTTTTCTCTGTAAAATCATTCTGTAATTAGTAGCAGAGTAACTCTGAAGGATATTTTAAATTTCCCAGTGACTTCCCCCCAAATTTTCCCTTATAGCTTTCAGCCACTCTACAGACACAAGTTGCTTGACAATCCTTCGCCAAGGTTCCAGGTCTGTGTTTGTCTTTCAATACAGTGCTTGAATCTGGGATGTAGAACAGCAAATGGGAGTTTTGAAAACTGATAGACAATTTATTTCATTGAAATAAGTACATAAACCTCAGTTATTTAGTGACAATTCCAATCTGTACTAAATACTGTATTTGCCCTGAAAATGTCAAGAATAGTGTGGGATGTAAAAAAAAAACAAAACTGGCTTTAGTCCTCCCCCTCCCCCCCTAATACTGCTTATCATGATTTAGATCAGGGTCCTCAAACTAAGGCCTGGGGGCCGGATGCGGCCCTCCAAGGTCATTTACCCGGCCCTCGCTCAGGGTCAACCTAAGTCTGAAATGACTTGAAAGCACACAACAACAACAATCCTATCTCATCAGCCAAAAGCAGGCCCACACTTCCCATTGAAATACTAATAAGTTTATATTTGTTAAAATTGTTCTTCATTTTAATTATTGTATTGTTTTTAAGTGGTTTTTTTTGCACTACAAATAAAATATGTGCAGTGTGCATAGGAATTCATTCATGTTTTTTCAAATTATAATCCGGCCCTTCAACAGTTTGAGGGACTGTAACCTGGCCCTCTGTTTAAAAAGTTTGTGGACCCCTGATTTAAAAAAAGTAACAGTTTAGCACTATGCATCATTATACTTGAATTAGCTTTCCTAGACCCTTTTTATGTGAGATCAGGTTGTGGTAATATTTTTCAAAATTCTTCAGAAGTTTGTTCCAGTGTCCACTGGCCCTATAGATGTTTCGTGTTCCTTAAGAAAACAATTGATTTATAACAGGAGTGGCCAGAGTATATATATTTATTGTTGTTTTACTGGAAGCCTGAAATCTAATAACCAGAGCTACAAATACATTACATACATTTAGCACTAGAAATTTCTGAGCCCAGGAACTTATTTCGAGTAACAGCATTGGCATTCATTCTACATTAAAATTCACTTTGCTCATTCCAAACTTTCCTCATATTAACAGTATCATTTAGTCATTTTTCTACTGGTATTGTTAAACACAGGGGAGTTGAAAGTATTTCCTATTAAAAATTACCAAGCAGGAATATAATTCTTCATTACTGTAATTCCCAAAAGAAACATTTCCTTCTTTGTGAAAAGAAGTCTACAAATTATACAGACGATTTGCTGTTTGAGACTTATTCTGTGAAAAACGATATTTTTGAGCATAAGAATTTTCTGCACAGAAAATTGTTTTTCATGTTGAAATATTGTTATCTATTTAAAAAGATCTGTTTTCGATCCAGAAAATGCTGAAGTTTGGGAGCAACTGTGCAAATTGCAATGCAAGTGTTATGCTGAATAAGTCTTGAACTGAAAATAAGTTTGTCAGTCCAGGATTCTTCTCATTTCCTGATACTTGAGAATTTTTTTGGGGGGGGGAGAACATTTCAAATGTTCTTTTCATCCCTAGTAGTGAGAGATCCCCCAATAAACATTTCTTATTCATGTATGCCACCCAGACTTCTGTTTAGTGAAAATAGTGCAAACCAATGAATTCCATTGAAAACAGAATGTGAAAGTTCTTAGAAATTTTACTTTTTCTTGAAATACAGCTTTTCAAGATCACAGTTTTGTATGTACAGACTCTCACAAAGAGCTGCAGGTTTATATCCTTGTATTTTCCAAAATCATTAACAAAAATCATTAACAAACTGGCTCCCGTAACGAGGTATAGATGTGAATTTTTGACTTGCACTGATTAAGCAATAGTGGTGTCTGTAGTAAGTTTCTTTTGGTGTGATTCCTATACTTTATAATCTCATTATAAACTATAAACAACTATTGCCTTGTCCCAAAATAGTAGAGGGCTGTTTTGTAGGGAAAAATGAAATTGTTTGTTACCAAGCATTTTTTCAAAGCAATTAATGCTGTATTTAAATAGGAATTTCTATGTTGGAAATACAAATCTTTGCTTATTTTTTATTTCCTGCATGCGGGGAAAAATAATTACAAGGGTTTTTTTCCTATTGGGTACAACTATGACTGTTTTTGTGCATTTTTGAATGAATTTTGTATTTTGGCAGTTCTTTTTTAAAAAAAATAGTTTGCAGGAAAAAAATAATTTATGCTAAAACATTTTGTGTTAAAAAGGGAAATAATTTTTTGTGGGAATTTCCAAATTAGCAGAATTTTTGAATGTCAGTAGTTATGTTCCATATACTCTATTCATTACTACTCTGTATCATATTTCCAACTGCCTACTTATTGCCTTCACATTTTGGATAATTTGAGCCATGCCTTATTTGTCAGTGTACTAGCTTCATAGCATCAGACTGAGCAAATGAATTATAGTACTAGAAAATGAGTGAGACTTTTGCCTATTTCACTCTACTTTAATTCAAAGAGACTTAATAAATTTTACAGATCATTTTAATAATTTCTAACTGAAGAAATTATTAAAATGTATTTTCAAACTTAAAATGAGACCTGAGTTATGTAATTAGAATGATTAACTCTTGCACATAATCAGTATTAACTAGGGCTGGGCGGTTTCGTTTCGTAATTTCGTAATTCGTTAAAAATTCGTTATTTTTTTTATAACGAAGCGATATTGAACCATTCAGGAGCAACTAAAAAACGAAATGAATTTTTCCAATTCGTTTCGTAATTGTTTCGGAATTGTTTCGTTATTGATTCGTTATTGATTCGTAAATGTTTCATTATTATTTCCGCATGTCTGGTGCAAGTTTTAGGGTTGCTGTTTTTTTTCTCAGTGAAAAATATATAATTATCACACCAACAGTCAACAACAGAGGGAGAGGGAAGCTTCAGAAGTTTTTTTAGCGTATTGCGCGATCGCGGCCGCCATTAACGAATCAATTCGTAATCAATTCGTAATTGTTTTATGATTTCCGAAATTTCGTAAATATCGAACTTTTTTTAAGGAAAATTTCGGAATTCTTTTAAATAACGAAAGCAAAAACCCCCTAAAAACGAATCGAGTTTAGAAACAAATTTTTCCGTGTTTGGACAGCCCTAGTATTAACATAAATTTTGATGGGTTGTATTCTATAAGTTGTTTCTAACTCAGCCCATAATTTATGAAACCAGATTTAAGCCAGTTGATCCTGGCTAAAGTTAAGACCAATTTCTTCAATAGAGGTATGGCCCAAGTCACTTTTTTTGAAAATGTTACTTTTCCTATCTTAAAATCTTTTCTTGCTCCATATATATTTGTCATAGATACACGAAGGGAATTGTGATGTTCATGAGGTTAAAGATAAAATGTCATTCACTTTGCATTTTTCTCAAGATTTATGTACTCTGTATTATAAGGACACCATTTTGTATTATATATGCAGGCATTTTGTTCAGTGTAATAAAAATGGTTCTAAAATATTATAAACTTCTGCTGTGCAGAAGATAATATGAATTTATAGATAGAGAGATAGATATAGTTAGATAGATAGATATATTAGGGAAGGGGTGTTTGATAACATGTAAGGGTTTTTAAAAATACCTTTTTGACTGAGTTGTAAGGAATTTATTATTTAGAACGTGCAAGCAATTGTCTACCAAGCCATGTTTTGGTGGTCATTTACACAGTTCTTTTTTTTTGTCCTGATAATTCTCTGGTACTCATTCACATGAACACGACAATCAGTGGTACATAACAATTCTTCAGATAGGAGGTAAAGATTTCAATGAAATAGCTGGCGGGAAATATAATGCCTATATTGTCAATTCAGGGAACTAAGACCTGGGAAGTCCAAGATACGGTCTGTTTATAATTCAAAACTGTCCCAATTACACAGTGACCGTTCATATTAATCCTCTGTAACCCCACTTTTTTTGGTTGCCTTAAAAATCCCATTTTCTCTATGTTCCTCCCCATTCGTGGACAGCGAGTGGAGAGGGGAGGCCTGGTCTCTGAGAGGTCCCCTCTATCTTGTGGGGTTCCTCAGGGGGCCATTCTCTCCCCTCTGTTGTTTAACATTTATATGCGACCACTTGCTCAGCTGGTT